ACAATACTTTTATTTTTATGTGGTGCTGAGGATCGAACCCAGCACCTCATACATGCTAGGCAAGTGCTCTGCCGCTGAGCCACAATCCCAGCCCCTCCTTATTAGTTTTTGAGACAGGATCTTGCAGGGTTATACAGGTTGGCCTCAAGCTGTTGATCCTCAGCCTCGTAAGTCCCTGGGATTATAGGCATGTACAGCCTGGTCTGCCTGACTTTTCCCCTTTTTAAAAATGTCTTGAATTATTCCTCCATCCTACATTTAGGACCAATGCAGTATTTGGATAATTTGATCAGTATTAGATTTATCCCGTTTACTGCACTTAATTTAAAGTTTCCATTCCAAAGTCTCTTATCTAACTTTTTCAGGTCCTTTTATTCCTTTCCTAAACCTTTATATCCTACTCTTCAGTCAGTGTTTAACATCAATTCTTTAGTCACAAAGCTCTTTTTCTCTGTCTTGAGGAAATAGTCTTTATTGTCCTCTATTTATTTTTATTTTATTTTATTTTTAGAGAGAGAGAATTTTTAATATTTATTTTTTAGTTTTCGGCGGACATAACATCTTTGTATGTGGTGSTGAGGATCAAACCCGGGCCGCACGCATGCCAGGCGAGCACGCTACCGCTTGAGCCACATCCCCAGCCCCCTCTATTTATTTTTTAATTTTATAGTTGTAGTTGACACAATACCTTTAATTAATTAATTTATTTTTATGTAGTGCTGAGGCTCGAACCTGGTGCCTCGAAAGTGCTAGGTGAGTGCTCTACTGCTGAGCCACAACTCCAGCCTCTATTGTCTTCTATTTACTTATATTTAGTTCGAACTCCTTTTTTTTTTTTTGTACTGGGTACTGAATCCAGGGATGCTCTACCTCTGAGTTACATCCCCAGCCTTTTATTTTGAAGCAGGTTCTCACTAAATTGCTCAGGCTGGCCTTGAATTTGTGATCCACCTGCCTTAGCCTCCTAGGTAGCTGGGATTACTGGCATGCCTGACTACTTTTTTTTTTTTTTTAATTTTTTTAGTTGTAAGTCGACACAATGCCTATATTTTTATTATTTTTATGTGGTGCTGAGGATCGAACCCAGTGCCTCACCTACACTAGGTGAGTGCTCTACCACTGAGCCATAACCCCAGCCCCATGACTACTTTTATTTGATTACTCTCTTACTATAAATACTACTTATATCTCCTAAATAACCATAGTTTCCTAAAGGATAATTTCTATCAAAATTACTGATTTAAAAAAATTATTTTTATGGTTCATTATTTCTCCCATTACTCCATTCTCTCTTTCATCTACAAAAATTTCTTTAGAATATAGTTCAAACTTCTTGGGATACTATTTGAAGTGTTCTATTTTTCCAGCTTAATCTCTCATTTCTTCCACAGTTGACATAGTGTTTATCTGATTTTCCGTATCCTGCCTGAAGTGCTGTCACATTATTTTCAGTGGTAGCAATACTAGGGAACAGAACTTCAACTTCATTTGTGTGTGTGTGTGTGTGTGTGTGTGTGGTGCTGGAAATCAAACCTTGCCTTGTACATGCTAGGCAAGTACTCTGCCGCTGAGTTACATTCCAGCACTGAGACCAGAGCTTTAAGA